CTCCACGAACACGCAAATATGTAAAGAAGCTGAAGTATTTGTTATTCTGATGGGTTCTTCCTTAATTTAGAAGTCCTTTAATGGTCTCAAGCCTTGGGCCTGCCTCTCACTCCCTGTCTTACTCTGTTTTCTTTCTGATTTTCAGAGTCCTCCTCCTGTTCCCACAACTCTGTGCGCTTAACTGAGCTCCCCAAGGAGACTCCCATGTGGGTGTATATCCCAGGGTGTGTGGAATTAGCCCTGGTATGAGAGCTGTTCTTTGTTTGCTGGAAGGAATTATTCAGAGTAGAAATAATGAAGTTATAAGTGTCAGAGAATTTCAGGCTGGTGCCTGCACATCTGTCCCATGAGCATCTAGCAACATGGCCAAGGTGCAAGGCTATGCTCGTCAAGTAAACACAGCTGCATTTATTTCACTGATTACACCTCCAGATAGCTGCAGAGCATGTTTGTAAATACACATAGATGTTTCTCCCTTCCTGGGGCACGGTGGGCAGGAAATCAGCCCTCCACATAGTTCTCATTTGAATGTGTGCATGATGGGAGCCATCTTTACTCTTGAGTCACCATGTAGAGGGGGTATGATTTTCATGACTCTGTGAAGACCCCACCTTCACCTATTCTCCACTTGCTGTCAGATGCCCAAAGTTCTACCACTAGAGCTTTATCCATAGGTAAAAGCTTTCACCCCTTTTAAAATATAGTTATGTAACTCTAAATTGTTTTAGATATTTGTTCTATGATGTGCATATGGATATCAGCTTGTAAAAGCTCAAAAGGCCATTGGTTATAAAGTCATTGGCACTTGGTTTGGGGGTGTTGGGATGGGAGGAGTGAAGCTGCAACTGAGAAAGAGGAAAAGGCCAAGAAAGGAATAGGCTGGGAGCACAAAGAAAATCTGTAATTTTCCAGAAATTTTGCCTAGGATCTTCCTCTTCCGTGATTGTTTTCCTATTTATGAAAACATTCCAGTAAGAAAGCAACTGAATCTTATATCAGACATGGGTATATTTATGGGTGTGGCTTTTAAATAGATGACTTGATCTATACTTTCAGAGGTATAGTGCTGAGACAAGTGGAAAGCTAGAAAGAAAACACATAGACTTTAGCAGAAACGATGCCCCAGCCACATGAAGAGGAAGGTAGGAAAAGAGAATTGTGAGGACAGTGGGGAGGTCAGAGGTGAGAGCTTTCTGGGGACCTGGTCAGGTAACTAATTCCCATGGTGGGAGGGTTCAGGTGTCCAGGCATAGTATGGCAGGAAGAGCCTTCAAGAGGATGGCAGAGGGATCAGGACAAAACCCTAGAATAAAATATCTAGAACTAGGCCATTGAGAGGGGAAATAATAGAGAATTGGGGAGGAAAGGATGGTGATAACATGCTTTTTAAAAATCCACTCATTGGGAGGATTACCCGCAACTCCCCAATCTGTGTGTGGCACCCAGACTCAGATCTGCCTGCAACATCAATACTTACTACTTCATAAAATCATGAGTCTTAAATTTTCTGAGATCAGTCTGATTTCGGACACTCAGTCCCATTGTTGGACACTATACTGTCTGGGGTTAGAAAATCATAATCTCTTGTGTCCGTACAAGTGTCCTCTGCCATTTGGTGTGTAAAGCCCTTTATCCACAAATTAAACAGGTAGGAACTCTCCTTCTACTTTGTCCCTTCTTATGAACTTGCCTGTCATCCTGAGTTTCCTTTCTTGTTTAATAGCTTCATAATTCAAGTCTTAGCACTTAAGCCAGAAACCTGTGAAAATTCTGTTAGTTAACTATTGTTGTATAACAAATTACCCAAAAACTGAACAGCTTAAAAGAAAAATATTGTTTCACACAGTGTCTGAGGGTCAGGAATCCAGGATCAGCTTAACTGGGTGGTTCTGGTTCAGGATGTCCCACAAGGTTGCAGTCAGCTGTCTGCTGGGGCCACGGGCGTCTCAAGACTTGACTGGAGCTAGAAGGTCATCTTCCAAACCCACTTGCATGGTCCTCACTCACTGTGGACCAGAGGTTTCCATTTTACCATGTGGGCCCCTCCATAGGCTGCCCAAGTGTCCTCATGATATGGCAGCTGCATTCTCCCCAGAGCACGTGATGAGAGAGAAAGAGAAAAGTCTCTAAAATGAAAGCCACGGACTTTTAAATAATCTAATCTCAGAAGTGACATCACTTCTGCCATATCCTAGTCACACAGACCAACCCTGGTACAATTTGGGAGGGGACTGCACAAGGGTGTGAACACCAGGGGCAGAGGTCATTGGGGGCCAATTTGGAAGCTGGCTGCCTCAGAGAGGCCTTCCTTTCCTTCTCCCTGTCCTTCAGCAAGTCACTAAGTCTTTCAGATTCTTCCTCTGCAGAATTTCTCAGATATGACTTCATCTTAAATCTGATTGTTTCTTCACGGAAGAGGTGTGAAGGCTGATGGAGGAAGCAGTGGGGACCATATACCTAAGGGCGCAGGCAGAATGCATTATAATATGCTAGCATGGCCTCCAACCAAACCTTGTAGGGAGAAGGAGAGCAAACCTCTTGGCAAGTCCATCTTTTGGAGAGGATTTATTTCCTGGGCAGGGAAGGGAAGACTAACACCAGAGTCACTCTAGGGAAATGAGGTGTTGAGCACAAAAGAAAAGCACAGATACTTTCAGACTTGGCCTAAGCACCCTAGGACTTAAGACCATAATATGGGGTCAGGTCCCCTTTGTGTGAGATAGAGAAAGTCTTAGGAGATCTCTAGGTGAGGGCCGCTGCTTCCCTGTAAGCATCTCATAGGCTTACCTCCACAAGTCTACTTAGATTGGAAGTGGCTTTCTAGAGCTCTTGAACTGAGAAAAATTGTGCCGTCCATTCTGCTTCGGGGAGAAAGCAAGCCTTGATTCTCAATGTCTGCCATTGTCAACGGAAGCATATACCTGCCATTTGGCCGGGGGGAATATACTCTGTTTCTACTGACGATACTCACTTTTCCTTCTTGGGATGCTTCTCTAGATGGGCTTTTTGGGAAAAAACAAAAGACTTAATAGGTAAAACTTTCAGAACTAGGCGCACCTTGGCACCACCTACTGGGAGGAGGCAGCTCTAACAGGCTTCCTCCTTAGATTCTTAAACAGCCTGAGGCTGGGCAGTTAACTAAGGTTAAGTCAATTGACCAAGGACCCAAGGGGACCAAGATGGGAGCTCAGCACTCATTGAAATTGATGAGAGATTTTGGGCCTTCCCTGAAAATTTGCCTTTGTTCTTGGATCTATAAACTTGGGGTACAGAATATGGACTAGAACAGACAACAGAAGTCACCTATCTGCCCCCATCCTGTTTTACATGTGACTCAGAGAGGTCAAGGGGCTTCACCACAGTCATTTAATAAGTTGGTAACCCAGCCAGGACTAAAGTCTTCTGAATTTTGACCTCTTTCCCTGCCCCATGTTGAACCTGTGAGTTATCATGGCATGTATACTTCTAGGATAGGTAGATTGCAACTGCCTGTTTGCTCTAAGGTCCATTTTCTGCACTTACTATAATCTCTGAATGATAAGGAACCTCATTTCCCAGACTCCCTTGTCTTCTGCTTCCTGCTAGGTTTGGCTGATAGGGGGCACTGGTGGAAAGTTTGAGAGTAGGAGTTGGCGAGAAACAAGGTATTTCTTCTCCCCTCTCTGCTTCTTTTGGCCTCTCCAGCAATGACTGAGTCTCGTCTGGTCCCAGCATCCAGTGGACAGTCCCCACTGTGACTCTGGCCTCTGCCGGATGCCGCCTGCCACTGTAATTCTGTAACACCCAATGATACCAGCTCCTCCAACCCAAGGACCTGTCGCAGCTACTTACCGCTGTGGCTAATCTCTGGGTTGCCTCACTGTCCCCTGTCCAGCTTCTCAGCTCTTCTGTCACTTGTATAACCAATTCCCTGTATTAAATTACCTCTGTTGGTTGAGATCTAGACTGGTTTCTCTTTTCCTTACTGGATCCTGGCTGAAAAAGTAGGTCCATTGTTCTGTGTGTTCTTGCACATTGTAGGAACACAATGAACATTAAGTTATAATGATATTAACAAAAAAGGAAAACTGGTTTATCCGAGAGAGGTAGTGCTACGCGCTACTCGTTTACTCCGTAAATCAAGCTGATTAAAGCGACATCATGTTTGTCGTAACTCCTGAAAAGCAAAAAGTAGAAACATTCTCCTAAGGGTCAGTCTTGTGCTCTTTACTCTGTGGTGTCGGAAGAATGGATTCCTTTGATTCTGCAGGTCCTTTCCATCTCTGTCGACTGTGACTTAATCATCGAAGGGAACATTCTTGGTGTAGGTGGGTTTGTAATTTTTAATTGTAGCAGAACGAGCCCTAACGTCATGCCATTGGCTTCCTACACTCACTTTGGTAACGACTCTACACTTGGCCTTCCCATTATAAGCCTGGTGCTTGTGACCTCCAGTCCTGTTTATATGCCAACCCCTGTTTTGGCCTCCACACAAGGATTCCCACAAGGGTTCCATTTGAGATGGCGGTTTCCAAGATCAGGGGTATCTGCCTGCCAGCACTGGATTTGAGACCACCAGCTTGTTTTTCCAAGTATTAATATCTCAATAATCTCCAAACATATTTTCTTTTCCAGAATATTTTCCAAAAGGTTGGTGAGAATGTCTCTCAAACTTTTTCCTTTGAAGGCGTAAGGGCCTTAGGGGAGGAGCAAGGGTAATATAAATTTTAAGTTGGCAGACGAATATTTAAAACTTTATCCAAAAAATATTTTTCCCCTTAAAAAGAAACAACTCTTTACATATTTAAGTAATTCATTTGGGAGAAATTGCCGCTCAACTATTCACATAGCTAGCCCTTGGCAGTTTCAGTTCAAAATGCTTTGAAACCAGTCGAGTACAAAGTACTCGAAATGTTTTTCTCTTTGAAAGCTCAACTTAGCCTTCACTGCCATGGTGGTGAGAAAAGTGACAACTCATTTTAAAGATTCTCCCCATTTGTTTCTTTGTCTTTCTTCTGCAGGCCATGTGTTTATACTATGGGATCTCCCATAAACAACAGGGCCCTTTTTCCATGCCAGGAGCCACCCGTTGCCATGTCAACATGGCAGGCTACAGTTCGAGCAGCTGCATCTTTTGTTGTTTTAATGAGTGGGGAAAATTCTGCCAAGCCAACACAGCTTCACGAAGGTACTGTACATGTGTTATGTGCTTCTTTATGTATTGTACACAGGCTAGACCCAGGAACCCAATACGCAGTGTTTTTCTCAACTTTAAAAAGCTCCTTTATTAGTTGGGTTGGAATGAACATACTATAAAACATCCTGCCAGAGAACACAGCAGGGGGTGGGGAGGGACACTGGGGAGCCTGGGCGTGGGATGTGGGGCTCCTCACACCGGAGTTATTGATTCCTAGGTTATTTCAGCAGTTGCTTTCACCTAGTGGTTTGTGGGCCATAAGTGGGTGGTCTTGGTTGAACTTCCTGGGCAGGCAAGTGTCATGGAAACACTGTTACAGTTGAGTTGTCTGTGGTTCGGTCATGGTGCTGACAAGGTTCATCACTATAGTGAGCACTAGTGCTCCTGGTGACCAGTCCACAGTTACCAGGAGTTGTCTTGGTAAAGCATCTGTTCTACACACTGTTTGCCCATGAAGTTCTGAACCAAAAGTGGGTAAGAAAGAAGTCAAGTGCTAATGCATTTGTCTGTGAATTACTTGCTTATTGCAGTAATTAACTCTTTCAGTTGAGATCCTGAGCATGTTGATGCCAGGTAAAATTTTTGTAATTGTAATATTCTTTATTTAAAATATGACGTCTCCTTCCACATATTTATTCTAGAAACTTTGAAATTTACAGAAATGTAAAAGTAATACAATTAAATAATTTTAGAGAAAATGGTTGCTATCATTTTGTTGCATTTCCCTCCAGTATGTAAAGTCTATATGTATAGTATATATTATCATTTTAAAATTGTCATCATAGCATAAAGTTTTGTAGTCCCCTTTTTTCACTTATAATGTATCTTGAATGGTTTTCAGGTCATTAAGTATTTTTCAAAAATAATGATTTTAATGTCTGCATAATATTTTGTTATATGAATATGTCAGATTTTATTTCATATTTCCATATTATTAGACATTTTTATTGTTTCCAGGGTTTTTTTCCTATTATAAATAAAGTTGCACTAAATTCCTGTGGAGGTATTTTGTATAAAATTAGAATTATTGAGTCAAAAGTTTTGAACATGTTTAAGGCTGTTGGTACCTATTTCAAGTTGTTTTCTAGAAAGGTTGCACCAGTTTACACACCCGCCCGTAGTTATGAGGGTCTCTGTTTCCCTGGAGCTCATCCCTCTGCCAGGCAATAGAAGGCCCTTCTTTAATTTGGATTACTTTGATGACCAATGAGGTCACATGTCCTTATATGTTTCTTAGCCATTTTCATTTCCTATCTGTTCATTTCCTTTGCCCATTTTTATACTGAGGCCTTAGAGAGGTTTTCAAAAATTTGTTTTGTCTTTTAATTTGATTGGCTCTTTCAAAAGTAAAGATATTGGAGCTTCCAGGTTGGTGAACACGTGGAGACGCAGGGAGAATGGTGTGCCTGGAAAGGGCATGGGAGCTCTGTACCCCTTCCCACGTACCTTGCCCTGTGCATCTCTTCCAGCTGGCTGTTCCTAAGTTGCCTGTCCACTCTTCATCAAACCTAACAGAAAAGTACAGAGGTCTAATTGTTTCTTCAGGTCTTCATTTCCTTATGGAGGCTCCTGTGTCACATAGGACTTACATTAAATAAATCTCTAAGCTGTTCTATTTAAAAGAATAAAATAAACTATATTAATCTCATCGTATTTGTGAAAAGTATTTTTCCCAGTTTTTAGTGTGCCCTTAAATTTTTATATAATGTTTCTGATCTACAGGAGATTTTAATTTTTATGAGTCAAATCTATAGGTTTTTCTTGGAGTCTCTCTTTCTTTGCTTTGAGACTCACCTGTTTTCTTCTAATATTTTTATATAATTTAAAATTTTTAGTTTAATTGTGTAATTTAACTTTTTAATCTATTTGTAGTTTATTCTGGTCAGGGTTGTGAAATGAGGACTACACGTTATTATTTTTTTTCAAATAGGAAATCAGTTACTCCAGGATCATTTAGTAAATCTTTTCTGATTTGTGATATCTCCTTTATCATACACTAGATGTATACATGTACTAGAGTCTTCAGTGAGTGTTTACTTGATTCTCAAAGTCAAAACAAAACAAACATAATACATTTTAAAATTTTATTTTTAAAAATAGGTCACATTGACATGGTTTAGTTACAGATGAGCAAAGAACAAAAAATTTTCAATAAAGTCTCCTTTTTACTCCTAATTCCTAGCTACCTAGTAACTCTCCCTGAAGGCAACCAAGATAACCAATTTCCTTTGTATAGTATATTTTTCCTCTTCTGTTGCACAAATCATAGCATGCTATACACATTTTTGTATTGTGCTTCTCCTTTAGAATAAATTTATCTTATAGATAACTTCATATCTGAACACAGAGCTTCCTCATTATTTTTATGACTACAGAGTATTCCATAAATGAATGTTTCACAATTTAGTTGACTAATAGTTCTTGACTTCACTCTTTATCAGATAAGGAATTTAATGGACATTTACTTCTGTCATCTTCCTTCACCCACATTCCCCAGTTTTAATTAATCTAATTTGGATGTTTGGGACTCATATTATCCCTATATTTTATTTTTACATTATATCTTCTCTTCTAGGAATTACAATTATTGTTTTATATTTTCATCCAGTTTCAAATCATATTTGCAGTAAGCATTTAGACTTTCTTTATTCTTGAACTCTTTAAGTTGAAGCCTCCCTCAGTCAGCTGGAAAATGGCTTCATATATATTTTTTTCCAGAAGGGTAGATAGATATGTAGTTTATTTTCTGAGCCCTCCCATATTTAGGTTGGCTTTTTGTTGTATTTACTTATGAACAGTTCTTGGCTAGTTACAAAATTCTTAGGACTTCTTTTTCCTCTTAAACGACTATCTGGTAAATGTTTTCATTAGCATCTGTTAGTATTTCTGAGGAGAAATCTGATCTCAATTTCTTTTTTTATTCTTTGAAAGTAGTCTGATTTTCCTGCCTAGAGAGAGTTTTGTAGAATTTTTTTTTTAAATTTATGTAATTCAGAACTTTCTAGAATGAAGCTAGTTGTGGGTACCTTATTTTTAATCAACTTTATGAAAGTATAATTTACATATAAGAAAATGCATACAGTTTGTCTTGTTCAGTGAGGTTTGACAAATGCATACACCTATGTAATTAATCAGCACCCCTATGAAGATGTGTAGTACATTTCCATTTCCCTAGAAATTCCCTTGTGCCTTTGCCATCCCTCCTTAACTTTTTCCTCCCTGACCCCATTCCAGTCAGCCCCTGATCTGATTTCCATATCTATAGATTAGTTTTACCTCTCCTAAATATTCATATAAATGAAGCCAGTCCCTCTATACTCGTTTTGTGTCTGGCTTCTTTTGCTCAGTGTGTTTGTGAGATGCATCCATATTGTTGTAGGTGTAAGTGGTTCATTCTTTTTAAAAAAAATCATGAATAGTAGTCCATTATACGAATAAACTGCAGTTTGTTTATCCTCTCACCTGTTGATGGACATTTGAATTGTTTTTGGCCATTATGGGAAATATACTGTGAACATTCAAATGTAAGTCTTTTGGTGGACATGGGTTTTCCAAAGTATTTGAAGTCATTTTATATTCATTTTATATTGCACCAGCAATGTATGAGAGTCGAGTTGTGAGCATCCTCGTAAACACTTAGTGTTGTCCTTTTAATTTTAGTCCTCCAAATGGGTGTGAAATACTATCTTGTCGTGGTTTTAATTTGCATTTCTCTGATGACTAATGATGGTAAACAACTTTTCATGCAGTTATTGTACATTCTTATATCTTCCTTTGAAAAACGTCTCTTCAAATTATTTGCCTGTTTGTTTAATGTGGGCTTTTTGGTTGTTGTATTATTAGATTGTAAGTACATTATACACTCTAGATACAAGCCTTTGTCAGATATATGTATTGCAAATGTATTCTCCCAGTCTGTATGGCTTGCCTTTTCATTTTTTATTTACACTCTGTACTACCGATATTTCATAGAGACATTTTGTTCTTTAGTAATTCCCTTACAGACTTAAATTATTGTAACAGTTTCCTTGCAATCCTTTATTATCTTTTTTATCTGTTATTTTGTTGTCTTTTTATCTCACTCTGTTACACTGTTTCAGCCTCTCTTCTCATGGCTTTTTACTATTTTTTGAGAGAAGTTATATCTTCTTGTATCATAATGGGAATGCCAATTTCCTAAACTGGTTTTGGTTTCTGTAGTAAGTTGATTTCCAGGGCTTGTTCTTCCTCTGAGTCCTTGGGATGATGTTTTATTTTACCTTTATTCTGCAGTATTTTTTCCCATGGTGCTTATGGCTTTCCTCTCGGGTATGTACCCACAGACAGGATAAAGTTTATGGGTTTCCCTTCACCTTCTTGGTTCAACAGATGAGAGGATACTGATGCACACAGCTCCTTTATCCAAGCTGTAGTGTCTTGTTGGCAGTTGTCTAGTGAAGTTCTGCTGAACTCACGTAGGATCTTTTTCTACCCTCTCTGCTTGGTTCCCTGACATGCTGAATTGATTAAGTACATGAAACACTGCAGCCTCAAGCAGGCACTGATAACCTGGACTCCTCTAGCTTCCATTTCTGCCTATGATGGCTTACTTGTGATAACCACACCTCCCAAGATGCAGTGTGGCTCTCCCTACCCCCACCTCACAAAGCCTACCTACTTTCATTTCATGGTTTAGCCCTGCAATTCAGATGTAAAGGCTTGTGTTTGGCAGTGTTTCTCAAACTTGAGTATTATTTTTCTTTTTAGAGGGAAAAAACCCAAAACTCCCGATTCACCACGGTTGACTTAAATTATTTGTATTAGAATGATATTTTAAAAACTATAAACATAAGATTAGATATAAACTCTTTGTGCTTATAAATCTTAGACGTCTGTAAAGCCAAAGTAAAGGTGTAAATTAAATACAGACCAAACTATTAAATCAATAAAATTCAAACAAACGACTTGAATTTAATGTTAAGATTAATGTTTTGCTGAAATGAAATTGCCCC